ATATATATTTCGAATAATTATATCCCATCCACTGATCAGCCTTAAAGAAGAGCAGTACGCCTACAGGAATGAAAGGCTAAACTCCTGCAAATTTCTGATAATCTAACTTACCTTTTTTGTACTTTTTAATTTTTTTGGTAGGTTATCTCCTCCCCTCATAAGGTTCTTTCCGATATTAAACGATTTCTTCAATTTAGCTTGAAGGGATGGCTCTTCGCTGTCGGTAATCTCATCATGGGTAGATGTTGTTCCACCGGTATATTGGCCAGTTCCAGAATAATCATCTGTGCTATCATAGAGCCTGTTCTGAACACGCTTCAATGAAGACACAGGGATACTGCTTGTCTCTTTGAGACTTCTTGATGGTAGAAAATTTCCTACAGGTAAATCAAACGCATGCAAAGATTGTCGTTGAGTTCTTTATGATGAAATGACACTGCTAATATATATTACGGTCATAGAAATTTAAGTAAAGTTAACGACACGCTACAGAAAATCATGATTGTGCCTGTTAAGAAGAAAATACTGGACTGTCGTGCGAATAGCGCGCGCGCGCTGAGACATTTAAATTCGACCAGTTCGTAGGCAAGTTGCGCGTTACTTTTTTTCAGTTTCAGTCGCATTTTGGAGGCTTTTGTTTTTGAGTTTGTATTTTAAGCCGTTACCATTTTACCGTCTTGTTACCGATTAAACGTGCCTGCTTTTAAAGGAGATTTTCGTTTTCGCCTCCAAACATTTCTAGCGACCACAATGGGAGAAAGGTATGAACTGGTGTTTGTTTGAAGTTTCGTTTGCGATTTTAGTTTCTGAGTTTTGAGTTGTGCATTATGGCTGCCGAATCCGAGGACAGCGATGTTACCGAATTTACCGAGAAAAATGACAAAATTGCGAATGGAGTCGACAAACAGAAGGAAAACGACGTTCTGTTAATTCAGATTAGAGGAAGAAACGCTCCGCAAAGACAAAAGAGACAAAACTCAGACATGAGTTAGAAAGACTATGCGTGAAGGATTCCGAAGTAACGGACATAGAAAGTATGATTGAGCAGTTGAGGGCAGCCCTTGAAGACGCACAAGAAATTTTAGAGGAACTGTCTGCTTTCTTTCTATGTCGAAGTCGGAGAAGACACTGGGAAAAACGAAGCTTTTAAAGAGTCAGAAAACATCGAAAATGACGTATGAAGAGCGATCGAAGTGGGACAAAGTGCGATAAAAGTCCGCGCGTGCAAAGTCATGAATATGAACACTCCATTAAGCGATAACACGACCGAGAAGATCAACTAAACGAGACCGCTGGAAGATCACTAAAGAAAAAAAGTTGTGTTCTCGTTGCCTAGCCTCTGATCATAAGAGGAAAGATTGCCCAAAGGCCCGCACGTGTGGAATAGATGGTTGTTCTCGAAATCGCCACCGCCTTCTTCATGGAAGTGAAGTTTTGTCAGAAACCGCACCGATGACAATGTTGCCTCATGCTGACGATGGGAGACGCCCAGATGTTCCACGGGAGGGGGCGCCCGCGGTGACCCTGACCAGCTGTGATGCTAAAACGCCGACTGAGTCTTATTCGTCCCTGTGTGGATGAAGGCTAATGGAAGAAAAGTAAAAATAAACGCCATCCTAGACGATGCATCGAACGAAACTTTCCTAAACGAAGCGGTTGCTGGGATACTGGGACTGCAAGAGCCATTCGAAAAATTTCAAGTTTATGTGCTCAATAACACCGTCGAAACTTTTCAGTCCATGCCAATAAAAATTGAAATCGAAACTGTAGATGACAAGTTTTCAAAGGAAATAAGCACAAAAACGTGTCCGCAGAAAGTCACTGGCAATTACAATGTTGTGAAATGGAACGACCATCAGAATAAATGGCTGCATCTGACCCAGTGCAATTTTCCCAAGCCGGCAAATGATGGACTTGTCGATCTTTTGATTGGCATTGATAACGCTGAACTCCATTATTCGCACGTTGATCTCCGTGAAGCTGTATTGGTGCGCCTGACGAAAACGAGACCGCGAGAACACGATCTCACGTTATCCGTTCCTTGTCCACTAGAGAACTTATTTGGAGCGAGGGAAAAGAATCCTGTTGTGACCTTGACAAAAGCTGAAAGAGATTCTGGGTAATCGAGAAGTCTGGCACAGACCGCGATGGCAGACTCGTATTCACCGAAGAAGAAAGACTAGCCTTAGGCAAAGTGAAAGATTTCCTCAAGTACGAAAATGGAAGATATCGTGTAGCCGTCCTTTGGAAAGAAAACAAACCCGATCTCCCTGACGCTAAACCCATGGCACTCTCTCGCCTCTGAAGCACCGAAAGAAATCTGAAGAAAAACGGCCGCGTCGCCTAAGAATATCAAGCAACTATTCAGGCCTATGTTGAAAAGGGATATTTACGAAAGGTACCCTCGGAAGAACAGCCGCCAGCTAAAGTATGGTTTTTGCCCCATTTTCCGGTCGTGAGAATGGATAAATCGACAAGGAAAGTTCGAATCGTATTTGACGATGCCGCTAAATGTGATGGTATTTCCTTAAATGACATGATCCATGCTGGGCCGAAATTACAGCAAGATCTTTTCAACGTCCTTGTCCGTTTCCGTCGAAATCCTGTCGGTGTCGCTTGCGACATAAAAGAAATGTATCTCCAGATAGAGATTAAGGAGCAATACCGATCCCACTTCCAACTGTTTTGGAGAGACCTTGACCCTAACCGAGAGCCAGACGTATTCGAGTTTAGCCGTGTAGTTTTTGGAAAGAATTCCGCCCCTATGGAGTCGCAGTTTGTTGGGCAGGAGAACGCTCGAAGAAACCAAGACCGCTATCCCCTTGCCACTGAGACCGTCCTTAAGTCAACCTATATGGACGATTCTATTGACAGTGTTGAAAACAATGATGAAGGAGCGGAGCTGTACCGTCAATTGAAAGCACTATGGGTAATTGCCGGCATGTAAGCCAGGAAGTGGATCTCTGATTCACCGAAAATTATTGAAGCGATTCCGACAGAAGAGCGCGCCACAGAGATCGTTATTAACGGCGGTCAAGCTCCGATAACGAAGACACTTGGAATTTCGTGGAACAGTACTGAAGATGTGTTTACCGTCACCGCTTCTGCAGTGTCCCCGGAATTTCAGATAACGAAGCGAAACGTCTTGCGTAAAGTAGCAACGATTTTTGACCCGCTAGGATTTGTATGCCCATACGTTATTATGGCCAAGATCCTACTCCAGGGACTGTGGACGGATGCGAGGCTACGACTGGGAAGACGAAGTTCAAGATGAAATAGCAGACAAAATCAGGGATTGGTTGGAGCGATTGAAAAGTCTGCAAGAGGTGAAGATTCCCCGGTGTCTACGACGTCCAGAGCCTGTCAAGTCGAAGCACATTGTGACATTTTTTGATGCCTCTCAACAAGCTTATGGTGCAGCTGTCTGTATGCGCTGCGAATACGATAACGATACCGTAATCAGTCGCCTGATTGCAGCTTAGAGTAAAGTGGCGTCGTTCACTCCGATGGCAGCACCCAGACTGGAACTCATGGGTGCGATTGTAGGCCTGCGTTTCAAACGGTCCTTGCTGACAGTCTTATACCCCGTTCACACCAAAGCTTAAAACATGGTTAAAATTTGTTTTGATAAACAGATTTAATAAGACTGGCCGTTCACACTGCGGGCGCGTTTAAGAAAACACGTCTAAAACCGTGTTTACAAAAAACATGGTTTCATTAAACTTTTACCCCTTTTTTCTAATTAAACAAAGTTTAACGAAACCATGTTTCATTAAACATGGTTAACTGATCAACCCCTTCACACCGAACAACAATAGCTGACAACAATGCAGCCTCCTGTTCATGCTCAGCCTCGCGTTCGTATAATTGTAATTGACGTAAAATGTTACAACATTATACAGCCACGACATGTAAAATGTAAACAAAATGGCAGATTGGCGAAATATTGTGCTTTTGTTTGGGAAAACACGGAGAGAAGAAAGCCGAAAAATCGAATAAAATCGCGCAAAGCTTTCCAGGCGGACGACTCTATCGATACCTCCACCGCAGATGTCTTTTTATTGTTGTTGACGCGGCAACTATTTCAATGCAGCCCAAGTTTACTTCGAGTCTGGAGTAAAAGCAGGTCTCAATCCTTATTGCAGGAGACCTGCTAAGGCTGGAGCGATAGAGAACTTAGGAATAGGCGCTTATCAGAGTGCGAATTCGTGTCTTGCAGCTGCCGTCGTCTCTGTCTTCATAGCCTGCAGCTCGAAGATATGCCGCAATTTCTAGCCACACTGGCTTTTTTCTTGTGCATAATTTTAGCTGGAGCTGGATCTTCACGTCTCCCCACTATTCAAGCAACAGGAGGGTTTCTTAGTGCTCCCAAACTCTTCCGCGCGTTTTGGTTTCTGCCGCCATTTTGAATGTGTTTTATTAAACACGATTGTTAAACTACGTCGCGAGGTAGTTTTGTTAAACATGGTTTTAGACGCGTTTTATTAAACGCGCCCGCAGTGTGAACGGCCAGTCTTGTTAAATCTGTTTATGAAAACAAATTTTAAACATGTTTAAGCTTTGGTGTGAACGGGGTATTAGTTTAATTAGACATGTTTTGATGGTGTGAACGGGGTATTAGTTTAATTAGACATGATTTGATGGTGTGAACGGGGTATTAGTTTAATTAGACATGATTTGATGGTGTGAACGGGGTATTAGAAGCACCAATGCAGAGCGTGACGTTCTACTCTGACAGTAAAGATGTCCCATGGTGGATTCGAGGGCGCGGAAAAGATTTCCAACCGTTCGTGGCCAACCGAATTGGTGAAATACAGATGTTCACTGAACCGTCGCAGTGGCAGCATGTCTCTATCGTAGAGAATCCAGCCGATTTATGCACGAGAGGGGCCTCGCCTTCAGAGTTAGCCGAATGTTCCTTGTGGTGGAATGGCCCTGATTGGCTTACAAATGATTTCAGTGAGTGGTGAAAGATAAAAGTCCCGGATAGACCTTGTAAAATGCCAGAGATAAGAACCTCGAAGAGGAAAGAGGACACGAATGCCTGTGCAACCCTTATGACGTGTAACCTTCAGAAAGAAACTGCACCGAAACAGAACAACACACCAGGAGTGTGGAGACTTGATCCGAAACGGTATTCCAGTTGGACGCGTTTGGTTCGAGTACACGCGAGAGTGAGAAGAGTATTACACAACATGCGCAACAGAGACAACAGGAATGCAAGTATGGAACTGTTGCCCGAAGAAATAAAGGATGCTGAAGAGGAAATAGTGCGCTTAGCACAGCGCGAAGCTTTCCGTGATGAGTACGCCGCTTTGAGCTTAGGGAAACCAATACCAAAGAAAAGCCAGTTGATAACGCTTAACCCTTGCATCGACGATGATGGAGTTATCCGGAGTGATGGTCGATTAAAGTTCGCAGATTTTCTCCAATATGATACTAAATTTCCCATCATTTTGCCTCGTGGACACTGGGTGACGAAACTTATCATGAAGAACTATCACGAGAGAGGAAACCATGCTGCCGGAGTAAACTTCATTCTTTGTCAGTTGAGTGAGAGATTTTGGATCATCGCCGCACGAGAGGAGATTCGCGAGTGGGATCACGAATGTAATGAATGTAAGAGAAGACGAAGCAAGCCAGCTTGTCAGATTATGGCGCCACTCCCGAAAACGAGACCCCGTTTCAGCTTCAGACCCTTCGCCCAAACAGCCGCAGATTTTGCTGGTCCTTTGTACACTCTTCAGGGACGCGGAAAACACGACAGAAGAGGTGGCTGTGCCTTTTTACTTGCCTGGAAACTCTAA